CTGCTGCATTTTATTGTGTGCCATCAATACTGAATCCATGTTTACCACAAGTCCCATTCCACTGAGAAGCCCTGCTGTTTTCACAAGTGAGTGATTGCTGCCCTGGAGCTTGATTAGGTCATCTAAATCATTTGGTGGTTCTTAAGGCCTCATTTCCCTGACTCGCACCTTATAAATGTAACAGGCCGAGTAGTTATGGAAATTCTCAGGCTGACTAGAATATGGAAAGTATGTAGAGGCAGGATGGACCTTGTAGGACTACTCCCATGATCCCCACCATTTCTTCTTCAGATATTTTTCACCTTAACCTTTGCATCCCGTAGTGCCCCCCACATTTAAAATGTTTCCAAATACTTTTAATGGGGTTTCTGTGGGATGAATGTTTCCCACTCCTGGTTTAGATGATGAAATGCTTAGGGTTTCACACAATTTCACTAAATTTAAAATAAGTACTTGGCTTTGCAAAAGAAAATAATTGGATGTCTTTTCTAGTGCCTGGAGATTTTAAATTACATCCATACTCTGCATTTTCTCCAATGAACTCACAAGCTATGTATAGGGCTTCCTTCCTACTTTATCCCCATGATATAGATATAGACGCCACTGGCAATGGTGCGGCTAAAAAATATTGTAAATATTGTAAATAAATAAAATATAGGTCAGAATGACTGGCCCAAAATCACTCAGTGAGTGAGTGGGTAGGTGGAAGTTGGAAACTGAATCTCCTAAGTCCTTGTTCGATATCCTGACATTTCTACTCACAGAGTGACTCAAGTCATTAGATGGGTGGCAGCCATTTTATCCAATTTAGAACACAGCTATATACTGTATATAGATCAAGACTTAGCCTGACATGAGTTTGAAAGAGCTACTCTCTGCCTTCCTGTTCTTCATGCATTGTTCTAAAAATACTATTACAGTAGTATGGTGTTGGAGAGCAGCCTTTCAGATGTTTTCAGTCTGCAAACATCTTGTGATCACTGGTTATGTTGGTTAAGGCTGGTGGGACTTGTAGTCCCATAACGCAGTGGTCCCCAACCTTGGGCCTCCAGATGGACTTCAACTCCCAGAAATCCTGGCCAGCAAAAGTGGTGGTGAAGGCTTCTGGGAGTTGCAGTCCAAGAACATCTAGAGGCCCAAGGTTGGGGACCACTGCCATAACGTACTCCTTGGTGATGGAGTTATGATTGTAGTTCATGTTCATTGAATTTCTGTAACCAGTGGTTATAGAATCAAAAAGCATGTTTAGCTGCTATGGTTGTCTGGAGACAGTGTAACCTGAGTGTGTTTGTGGACATTAGAAAATTCAGCTAGATATCTAGCTAATAAGTCCTTTTGCCAGGTTTATTTTCAAACTGCAAATAAGAGAAAAGTATGAAGGTAGAGCTTTATTTTGGTTTTAAAAAGGAGCTTGCTAGTTTAGTATTGTGAGCTTGTATGATGAAAACTAGAGTTCCATGGATGTGCCTTTCTTCATGAATGTGTTCCCTCTTTGTACTCCAATAAAAAAGGACAGACTTTAGAGAGTGTAACATCTTGAAGGAGTTTTCAATGGAACTTTATTTTTTCTAGTCCTTCCAAAACAAATTTCTTGGTAGTAGCACTGATACTTTAATTTTTTTTAATCAAAAGAACAGTGCTGGCAATGAAAGTGTTGGCAATGGAAATGCATATTTCATTTTTTAAATTTGTTGTCATCACAGTTAGAATTAAAAAAATAAGAGCCCTCTTGGGACCTAACTTGCATATTTCATGTTCTTGAGTCTATCATTGTGGATTGAAAAATATTAGAATGAAGAGAAAATTTGCAAAGGGAAATCTTCATCACTTTCTGAGATGCATTTAAAATTGTATTTTAAATATAAACAAGGAATATTGTGTATGCTATACTGTCCCCGTGTGTACATAAAATGGATATACATGCTCCCCACCTTGGATACACAGCTTAATGTGGTGAGAGAAGTTGAAATGCAATGTGTACTTCTAGGTTGAAGTATAGTGTCCAGATCGAGGGAAGTAATAGTACCACCCTTTTCTGCTTTGACTAGACCCCCACCAATATTACTATGCCCAATTCTTGTACACATGCATAAAGGAACAGGAGGGTGCTCTGGCGGGCACACATGCACTCATATGCATGTGCAAAGAGTGGGGTGGGCAGACATGCACTTGTGCGCATGCTTGAAGGATGCTCGGGCACATGCGTGAAGTGGCAGAGTGCTCTGGCAGGCACAGGCACGCATGCGCAAAGTAGCTGGAGAAGTGTGTGCGGGGTGGGGGGAGGTCTTTCTTCGCAGCCCAGTTCAGCACAGGCCATGGACCGCGGACCGGGGGTTGGGGACCCCTGCTCTAGAAGATACAGTGGTGCCTCGCTGGATAATCTGGTCCAGCAAAATCGCTGTAGAACGAAATCGTCGTCAAGCTAAAGTAAAAAAGCCATTGAAAACCAGTTCAATGCATTCCAGTGGGCGAAATACCTCAGCGTCCAGCAAAGATCCTCCATAGGGTGGCCATTTTCTGGTGCCTGTAAAGCGAAAAAGCCTTCCTAAACACAGCAGGGAGTCATTTTGAAACCTAGCAATCATCTGCTTTGATTGTCGTAAAGCAAAAAATTGGTTCCTGAAGTAGGGAACCGATCATCATCAAGCAATTTTTTTCCTCTTAAAACATTGTTTTGCGATCGCAAAATACTCATCGTTAAGCGATTTCCTCCTCTAACGAGGTAATTGTCAAGCAGGGCAGCACTGTAGTACTTGAAGTAATGGATTCTAGTTATGGCAAAAGAGATTTTGCCTAAACATTAGAAATTACTTCTTGATAGTAAGAGGTGTTCAACAGTGAAATGGACCATCTCTGAGGGTGGTGGACCTCTTTCAGTGGAAGTATTTAAAGAAAAATTAGATGACTATCTGTTAAAGATGTGTAAATTGTTAAGTTTCTTGCTTCAGCAAGTGACCTGCAGCATTACTTCTGGCTAACAGTTCTATGATGCTACATGTCGGTGAAGCTAATAGTACCTTCAGGAAGCTAGACTCTGTTATGAGTCTAGATGCATAGCAGGGACATGCAAAACAAAATTGTTAACAACACCAGACTATGATGCATCTTTTCAGGTATTAATGGTTGCATCAGCTGAAGATAACTGATAGTACCAGTGATGATGGGGAGCACAGAAATTCTTGAAGGGTAGCTACAGGACAGCAGCAATAGGGGAAGGTGACGCTTGTAGAGCGTATTTCATAGGCAATAGAATTCAACTAACTTTTCCTCATTGTTGCCAAGAAAGTGACAAAGATAAACCACTTCTGAATATGTACACTTAAAAAAATGCTATGATGAGATAATCCAAAGTGAAACAAGAGACAATGTAAGAGTCCGAAGTGTTAAGGCACTCAGCCAGTTTCTGGGGAAAATGCAAATGATGAAGTATGAATCGCACTGTCACTAATGAAACAAATGAATTAAATCTGGGACTGCACGGAGCCAAAAGGAAAGAAATGTAGAAGTGTGTAGGGATGGCTTGAAAGAACACAGAGGGCTCCATTTCATCTAGCTCTGTTGTATTGAACGGTCCTGCAAAAAACTTTGAAATAACCCCAAAGGTCTGTTTAAAAGATAATTCTGTCATTAACTGCAATATTAAATTATTGCCATGTTTTATACCTAGTGTCTCTCTTCTCGAAATCTAATTATCATAATCTTGTTGCTTACATGAGTGTATAAAGACAAATGCAATGTGAGCTGTTTCCTGGTCTACACCAGCCTTTTTTGGTTGTGTCGCCTATCGCATGATGGGCCACCTGCGACACATGACAACTGCATACACAAATGACCTTCCTCATGTGAAAAACTTCAATAGGATGCTGGGCGATAAATCCCTTAATGCTTAAAAAGCTATTTATTACTACATATGTTGTTGTTTTGTATTGTCAAGTTGGAATTGACTTATAGCGACCCTAACGGAGCTTTCCAGGTAAGTGAGATGTTGAAGGAGTGGCTGTACAGGTTCCATGGCTGAGCAGGGATTTGAATCCAGTCCTTCTGAGTCCTAGCCATTCTTTATCCCCTGCATTAAACTGGGTTTATATATTTAGAACTTATTGTATAATACAAGAGAATGGTAGTATACTTTTAAATGGATTCACATGTGTTAGTTACAGCCCTTAATTTGATACACCAAAGATGTATCAAAGCGAAGTAGCATATCTATTGCAGTTGGAGAAAGTGTTCTGACTCCCTATAAATCAGACCAGAGGTACCATCATGATAAGCCACTTCTTCTTTGAAGAAGGAGTCTGTCTACTTTAGGTCCATGGAGGAGGGCGGCTTTATGATTCTCTCCTTCATATTAATCCTCAGTGACTCCAGACTATAATAGCTACAGGCAATATGCACAGCCTTGAAGAAGATGATTTATAATCAAAAGCTGGCTTTTTTTGTTGTTTTATTTGTTTTTCTTTATATTCTTAATAGTCAAATAAAGCTGTCACCTCTTCCTGGATTTGTATTGTTTCAACAACCATACACTCTTTTCCTGATATTTCCTGATCTACAGGCCTGTGATTCAAGGTGGTGCAGATATATTTCAATTAATCCAATTCAAATTAATCCATGTTAGAAACAAGCCCTAGCTGCTCCTTTCTATGGCCTGTTTTCTGTACGTGCCATGTTTTAGGCTCTAAGTTTCATAACTATGGGAGTTTACGGCTCAGATGACGTGGAGGCAAATGTACTTTCGTACACAAAACTTTTAATATAACGGAGTGGTAGCTTGCAGGCTGCAAATAATGTTTTGAGATAGATCCAGGACATGAAGCAGATTACAAACTAACCTCTCTGCCTAGCTTGAAATACTACATCAGCCGTTACAGTATTTTCAAAATATTTGTGCTATAGAAATCATGGACTGCAGTGCAGGTACAAACCTCTTCATGGACTTTTTGCACAGTACTGGATCTTAGACTACTCTTTCAGATTAACTAAATGGATTTGGTTTCCAGGTGATGGCAAATTTTCTACAGCTGATGTCAAAGAACATTCTTGTGAACTTATGCATGACCAGACGAATGAGTCCAATGAAAAATTAAAGAACACTGGGAAAATCAAAAAGGTGAGTCTAACCTGTTAGTATTTCAAGATTTGTTGCCCCGACCTACTGAAAAACAGGAATACCGAAAGTGTCTATCATCCCTCCTTTATTTCCACCATCAGAGTTCAATAATGTTGCTTCCAAAGCAAAAATGATAACCATCTGTGCCAAAATGGCGAGATGTCACACTGGGTTAAACCCTAAGGTTCAAGACGTGCATAAAATGTGTAGTGAAGAACATCTATTGCGGGGAATCCCCAAAAATAGCCCACTGAAGACTGAGCATGCTCTGCAGCTGCTGAAATACAGAGAGAGAAAGTAATACTGAGTGGGGAGAGAAATGGAAAATCTGGTGGGAGGAGGAATAGAATGGAGGACTGGAGAACGTTGTGGGTGACTGGAAGACTGAACGGGCGCTCTCCACAGCATTTTGTTACTGGTCCCACTGGCAGGCAGTGTTTACAGGCAGTGTGAAACAGATCTTGCCTCCTAGCTCTTAAAACAAGCTTTTCTTGTTAATTTTTATGTACTTTGAGTGTCAAAGTGTGTTTAGAGCCACGGTTTGTGACTGATGTTTAGCGGCTGTATTTTGAACCGAGCAAAACCAAAAGAGGGGACAGCAGTGTCTCCCACCGCTCAACCCTGCAGAAGCAGAGGCCAAGGCAAACAGTTTAAAAGCCCTTCTGTTGTGAATAGCAACAACGCTTCTAATGTATTGTAATGATTTGCCCCCATTGCTCTGTTTGAGCTGGTACATAGGCGTGAGTATCTGAGTTGAATATTAAAGGGAGATATTTGTGATCACCATTTGAACATCTCTCTTCATGCAGAACAGTGGCTTGTATCTAAAGTACATGAACAGAAGGCCACACACAAAAAAAAAATCTTTATGGTTCCCTCATTGATTTGTTACTTCATCCTCCCTCTCCCACAAAGGTCTTATTAGAGAGTCAGTGACTCCTATGTTAGGACTATATCAAATTTGGGACATTCTGACTCCTTTCTTTCATACTGTTATCTCCAGCCCCACAGTTTATGTTTGTTAGGAGGGTCCCTTGATCTTCTAGAGAAGTTAATGAGGGAGCAGGCAGGACAAGAGACATCTGTTGAGTCTCATCTGTTCTACTCAGGAAGTTTGAGTCCATTCCAATATGTGGGTGAAGAGCACCTACTGGGATTAGCGATCTGATGGAAGCCCTCTGGAGAGATTTGGTTCTCCTCATTCTGGATGCCTCATTCGCATACACCTTGAGGCATTTTTAATGCAGGATAGTTACATTCTTTCCAGTTTAGACACAAAGGGCTGTTAGTCCTCTTCTACACTGTGAGCATTTCCAAAGAATGACCTCTTTGGAGACATTGGTGTTACAGTACAGTGGTGCCTCACTTAATGAGTGCCCCGCTGAGCGATGAAATCGCTTAACGAGGGGCTCTGGGCCATCGCTGGAGCATTCGCTCAGTGATGGCCCCTATGGCGGTTTTTCGCTTAGCGAATATCGCATAACGAAGCGGGGGAGAACAGCTGATCGGTGGTTCCAAAATGGCCGCTGGAAGGTCCGCGCCACATTTTCGCGCCGCGAAAATGGCGGCGCTATGGAAGAACATCGCTTAACGGTGGCTTTTTAAATTCCGTTTCGTGATGTTTCGCTATAGCGAAGGTTAATCCGGAACGGATTAACCTCGCTATGCGAGGCACCACTGTATTAGTAAAAATAATATAATCATGTGCTGTCAAGGCAATTCTGACTTTTAGTGACCCTTTTGAGGATGTTCCAGATAGAGAATATTCAGAAGTGGTTTACTGTGGCCTCTCCTGAGGGCACCCTGGAAGTATGCAGCTCATCCTAGGCCACATAGGCTGGCTATGAACAAATCTCCACAAACTCTTTCTGAGACGATAGCTTCTCCTGTAGATTTGCAAATTATGCACTTGTGTTTTCCACATTAGAGGAGATTGCAGGGGTCTTCATGCATTTACCACCTGTTTTTGTCTTATATTCTTAATGGTTGAATAAAGGTATCACCTGTTCCTGAATTTGTATTGTTTCACCAGAAGACCCTCATCCTGGGAAAAGACAGCAGTCAGCAAAACTCATATCCACTCCCGCCCCTTATTTTGTAGCAATAATTGTTCTGCATTCTTGTAACATTTTTTGTGTTTTGAAGGCAGTTCACGTAACCCCTCTCATAAATTGGAAGGGTGCATGGAGAAAGAAGTGTCATATGGTTGCACCAGCCATCCATGCGGCATTATTCTCCCATCCACATTGTGCACACCAGCTTCAACCCATTCCAGCCTATATGTCAGGGAATCCTGGATCAATCAGAACCTCATAAACTTATATGGAGGAACCCTGAATACAGTACCTGTATAGAGCACATAGTCACTACATGATGGGTGGATGGGTGTGTTCCACCAGCAAAAGGGTGGTGCCCGTTAGTGTAATGCCACAACACACCCAGGAAAGAAGGTGGTGTTTGAAGCTCTACATTGTGTGGAAGATACCATGTTGTAACCAGAAATTCAGTTCCATTGTTTAGAAGACAAGATTTCATTGAACATGATGCGAAGCAGAAATCATGTTTCACCCTATGAACAACTGTTGCCTTTAAGAAAAGACAGAGAAAATGCCATAATATTAGCTTAATACTAAAGGTCTCTTGGTGCAGTGGTTAAACTGCAGTATTGCAGTGAAAACTGCTCATGACTTGAGATCAATCCCAGACTGAGGTAGCCAGCTTGAAGTTAGACTTCCATCCTTCTGAGGTCGGTACATTGAGTACCCAGTTCGCTGGGGGCTAGGCAGGGGAGCAATGTGTAACCTGCATCATTAAATTATAAACTGCCCAGAGACAGCTTTAAGCACTGAGGAGGAAATGTATAAGCAGCACACTTTACTTTGCTTTAATATTTCTATGTAGAATTTTCTTAATTTATCTGTATTGTTTATCAATATAGGATTTCATTACACAGTAAAATCAAGGGTCATGGTTCTTCACATAGAGTTCTAGCTGAGGCCTGCATGAAACGAAAATGTATCATAGTATGTCAAGCTGCATATGAATGTGTTAATGTTGCTTAGCTCTTCAGTGGAACTGTGTAATTCCACAAAAGGAAAGAAATATAACTGTTCACTTGCTGTTTTTTCCTTCCTTAAATCTACAGCCACTGAGAACATTAGTTATGACAAGCATGTCATCTGAGTAAGTACCAGATGTTTTGATCTCACTTTTGTCTGTGTCAATCCTGTAATTAAATATACTGTATGTAATCTGTCCTGTCACATAATATATTGGATAACATCAGATGTTGACTGACTGAATGGCAACATTTTGTGGGCTAGGTTAAGAGGAGCAGAGTTCAGTTCCTCTCAAGTAATAGATAGTAAAACTACTACAATTAAAAGCTTGTATTTGTAGTTTATGGTTATAGTTTGTAGTTAGGAGGATGCAGTCATATAGTTATGCAGCTGTAGTTGAATATTTATGGATTATGGTAGTGAGCAGCTAGATTTCTCCACAGATTCATACAAGAAAAGGAATTTCTAATAGTGTTGCACTTCATGCTGTGCTTTTGTCTTTCAGAGACATATGGTTTGGTTGCTTTTTGATAAATATTCAAAAATATTGGGTTGTCCAGTGGAATCTTCCATTAGCAGAGCATGGAAGGAAGCAATGTTTGTTGACTCCCCCTTCTTCCTTCAGTCTTTTCAAAAGCACCTCCAGAAGATTGGGGGATGATCAGAGCACTATGGGAAGTAGTAGAAGGGCAGGGAAGACAGTTGCCAAAAATGACTTATCATTCTATCCTGAGGGCAGAATATTCTGCTGGATTAAAGAATACTCCATCAATAGAGTTATGCCAATCAGATCTGAACTATTAGTTCCACAAATAAATAATTGCTGTTGCAGGGGAACAAGAATGACATTGCAATCCTATTCAAATTGCATAATAACTCCCTAATGGTAGAACTGAAAGCAGATTACCTATATTGACTAATTTAGCTATACTGCTCTCATTCAAATACCTTTCTTATTTTAGTATTTAGAACCCAATATGATGTACCAGGATCCTTGATTTTACTGTGCAATGATATGCATTTTTTTTTCTTGACATCTTATGATTGAAGAAAACCCTACATCAACCTAATAGCATTACATTTTCTCTGTCTTTCACTGAAGGAAACAGAATGCAGTTATTCAAGTGGTTAAAAAGTTGGGAGGCTTTCTGTTTTCAGATGAAGTGGGCAAAAATACAAGTCATGTGGTTGCAGGAAGCCCTCGTCGTACCTTAAATGTACTTATGGGAATTGCTCAAGGCTGTTGGATAGTGTGTTATGAATGGGTAAGTAATATAGATAACCAATTATGCATTAATTCTTCTGTAAAAATCATGCAATGTTTAGGTAACTGGAAAAGAACAAGTAATCCAATTTATGCCAACTAGATGATTTGTTCATCAGGATAGCTTGCATTTGTAGTGGTTAATTAAACACAAACATTTCAGTAATCTGTATTCACTTCATGTAAATATAGGAATGTGTTACAAGGTCTTTGAAAATTTATGAAATAGATCTGCACAGAAAAATATCCAGATTTTTAAAAACAAGATTTTTCTAAGTAGATAACATGTATTTTGAGGAAAACATTGTGCATTATGTTGTACGGAATGGATGGAGATTTGATGGTTTGAACTCAGGCTATACATAGTTTTCTTAGACATTTGTGATATTTTTGTAAGAAAGTGACTCAACTGAAGTGCTGCTAGGTTTGGAAGTGAATTAAACTAACAGGTACAAGAGATAAGATTTTGCAGCAGCTACTAGTTCTGCAAATCTAAAAAAATCATGAACTGAATGAGGAGAACATAAGAAAATATTGATCTAAAACGTACAGTGGTGCCTCACTTGACAACGTTAATCCGTTCCAGCAAAATCGCTGTAGAGTGAAATCGTCGTCAAGCGGGGGGGAAAACCCATGGAAACGCATTAAAAACCGGTTCATGTATTCCAATGGGCAAAATACCTCATCATAAAGTGAAGATCCTCCATAGGGCGGCCATTTACTGGTGCCTGTATAGCGAGGAATCCATCCTAAAGCACAGCGGGGAGGCTTTTTGCACAGTGGCCGGCCATTTTAGAGCTGCCGATCAGCTGTTTGAAAATCGTCGTCTAGTGAAAAAATCGCTTCCCGTAGCAGGGAACCAATCATCGTGAAGCAAATTTTTCCTATTAGAACATTGTTTTGCGATTGCAAAAGCGATCTCAAAAACCTCATCGTCAAGCGGTTCCTTCGTTAAGCAGGGCACCACTGTATTAGGAAAATATCATGAAAATGGGCAGGCTGCTTAGAACAGTTCAGCAGTAAGAAATCACATTATTCCCATGTTAATTTTGAAGATATATATAAAAACCAATAATTAAACCAAAACCTTTTACAGAACAGATAGAAGTTCATGTCTTAGGGAATCACTGTTGATTAAAGGCGATTGCAGAATGCATTCAATTTGAACACATGTGACAAAGTCATATGTACCTCAAAGTTGCCAAAGGAAGCCTTTTACCTGTGGTGATTTGCAGCTGCAGTTATTATCATCATTGTGCACATGGAGGTGGTATTGCACAGAGGTACACAATAGAATTGCAACCACTGTATTAGAGTCAGTTAGAATATAATGGATTTCTACTAGACCTTTCAGCAGCATTCAAGCAATTGAATTGGCTTGAGGTGGATCATACAGAAGACCAGCTGAGTTATTTTGTTAAATGGGGCAGAAAAACTGCCCTTCCCTTCCCTGGCATAAGCAATGTAAAATAAATAAATGAAATGACCAATACTTTACTGCCTTTCCTGATAGCAAAAACATCAGTCACATCCAGTACCTAAGTCTGTTATGTGTTCAGTGGTCAAGATGTAGAATTGCCAGTTTATGAGATTATATGTTATTGTACAGCAGAGCAAATCAAGGTTCTACAAGTCAGTTCTGAAAATAAGCCAATTCTAAATTTGGGCAGCCCAAACAAAAATTTGAACTGTGAGACTGGACATTAGGTTAGCACCAGATTTGTCATAGTCTGCTCTTGCGCTTTGCCAAATTTGCAAGAGTTTAGACAAAGGTTTTATGAGTTACAATATTTTTAGAAGTAAAACCATTCTACCACCCCTGTTCAGAAATAAGTGACTCCAAATGATCCCAGATTCTAAACAAACCACATTAATTGAAAACGCATTCTTGCTTCTCCCGAAATAAAAAGTTTGGCCCAGCTGCTTTTTTTATTTGAAAAGAATTCAGGCTCCAGGGACTGATATGTTGATCCTCAAAAAAGATCTTTCAAAAGGGAAAAACAGCCACTTTGTTATAATACTGAGCATGTGTGGTACAGGCTCATCAGGAACTTCACAAAATGAAACATTGTATATATTTGGAGTTGGGGGAGATATTTGGAGAGTTGCAGTACAGCTGAAGTTCATGGAAACAGGCTGAAAAGACAAGTTTTCTTTAAACAGTTAAAAAAACAGGTTTGCTTTAAAGAAAGTAACCGAGTGACAGTGTTCAGAAAGGGGACATTTTGCCATGTATCTTCAGAGAATTAGCATACAATGTTATAAGGCATATTTAAAGCATTTCTCCTCACCTTAGAAAAACAGATAACAATTCTAGTATTTTCAGGAAACATTCTAGATTTCTGAGAGCAGTCTCCTCAGGTAAGTTTTCAAAGGGGAAATCAGCTCCACCTCTGGGGCAATCTGATGTTTTTAACCTTGTCAATTAATTAGCTGACTCTTCGCTAACTTTTTAACTCCTTCCTGGCCGAACAGTCTTATCAGAATAATGCTTGCAAGGGGTTTCTGTGTCTGATTATGAAAATGAAGGCAAAAAAAAATAGTAAAAAAGGTAAAAATACAGATATTGACAATATCTGTTAAAATATTATTTTAAAATATAGAACAAATATTCAGAAACTCACTCATTTAAACTCTGAATTTACTGTGTTTTTCTTTGTGGTTGGAGATAGTCTTACTTGATGTTAGCGGAGCTTTGGTGCTATATGCTGTCAGAGTCTCCTGGCATAGTTTTCATTCTACCCATCTTATTACTATGCAATTGCTTTCTAATTTTAAAAAAACTCTGTGAAGATCCTATGTGCCATCATGTCACTTCTCATGTGTGGTAACTATATGAGTTAATAACCTCCAAAATGTCATATAATTAACAGCTCTGCTCAGATCTTGCAAACCAACAACATCTTATATTAGATTGTTTTCTCTTCCTACTGCCCCCCCTCAATTTGTTTTTTCCATTAAGTTCTGTTCAGGTCTTGCAAACTAACAGCTGTGGATTCCTTTACTGAGTCAACCCATCTTATATTAGATCTTCCTCTTTTCCTAGCAATATTGTCTTTTCTGGTCAGTTCTATATTCTCATTATATGTGCAAGTTAGGATAGCCCCAGTTTACTCATTTTTGTTCTAGTAAGAATTTAGACTTGACTTGATTGAGCACTTGATTGAGGACACATTTATTTGCCTTTCTGCTGGTTTATGATATCTGTAAGGCTTATCTCCAACACCACAATTGAAATGATCTTCTACCCTATTTTTTATTTCAAAAAAAGAGGCTTTGTTTGCTTGTTTGTTTGTCTGTTTGTTTTAGAAGACCTACAGGCAATATGTTTGTAGAGCAAGGGTTTGGAAACTGGAAGAATGCTTTCTAGTCTGCATTTTGCAGAGCGGGCATAACATTTGTTTACCTGAGAAGTTAAAGGGTGTATATTTTTCTCTGTTGCATGTGTTGTACTCACTCACACTTTTGCGTTGCCATTTCATTAAGTCCAAAATAGACCTTCAAAAGATTTTAGCATACAGAAAATAAAGCCCTATCCTAGTTGTTCTTGGTTCTGTCCTCCCCCAGCAATCCTACTACAGATCATGTGATCATCTTCTGGGATCCTCCAGCACTGGGTAATTCTATATTGCAGGATGTTTATGTAAACTTAAACATCTGTTTTAAAAAGCCAGCAAATACAATTCTTTATAAAATTTCCATTTTATGAATGTGGGATATTCTGCTTCTGTATCCACAATTCAAAATGACAGGAAATGTCCGCATTTCCTGTCATAATGCGGGCAATATCGAGCCCTCATTACCAGCAGTAAAAAGGATGCCAAACTTTACACAGCCTGAATGTTGATGCATGTTAGCAGTCAACATGGTCTGCAGGATCCCCTCTTGTGCTCACTACCATTCACAAAGAGACATCAAGCAGGAGAAAATCCCAGAAGCTGACTCCTTTTTCCATTAGTTAACTAATTTTCACCTAAACACAAAGCTATTGTCAGGACTGTTTTTCAACATGTTCTCTTTCAACATTATGTGGTGCAAGAGGCTAGCACAGTATTGTGTAATGCAATGGCTACACTAGAAAAACAGAATTTCACTTATTGTTCATACAACACAGATACAAGCAATTGCAATGTATCAGTGTCCATTCATTTAAACAGAGTGTGAACACCACCACCTCATCAGCGCCTCTCATCACAACTGCCAAAATAAGTTTAGTTTCTGCAGTAGGTCAGTATAAGTATGCAGGGTCATGGCTGTCTAGGCTTGGAACGGATGGCTTGAATCCAAAGAGAAGGGAAACTTTTTCCACTTCATCAAAATGGCGCTGAGTTTCTTGAAACAGATGTTCTCCTTCCAGAACAGAAAACGTCATTGTGAAACAGAGGCCATTTTAAAAACATGCTGGAAACGGCACTGTGTACCCTGAGCATGTTCTACAAAAGTTTGAAATCCATCTGCAGCTTTTTATTAGAGTCCACTTCTATGCTTCCGGCTTCAGTTTCTAGTTGTATTGTGATATTAACAGAATATTCTATTTCCAACAAATCCTAAAAAGCTAAAGGCTAAAATACATAATGTTTTCTATCCCAAGGCATGTCTAAATCATCTATTTGGGAGCAGGGGAGTGAGAGAGAGACCAAATGTGGAGTTGCTTCATCCACATCTAATTTATTTTAGTGGTATACTCAAAGAGGCTGCTTTACTTCTTTTGAATATGGCTATTACTTATAGTTTGCTCCCTTTTACTTTGTAGGTGCTGTGGTCTCTAGAATATGGTCACTGGATTTCTGAAGAACCATATGAACTCTCAGTGGACTTCCCTGCAGCTCCTGTAAGTAACAAAAGTTTCACTTCTTAAATAAGAGAAGCCATGTTTATCATGGATTCTTGAGTGATGGTACATATTAGAGATGGGGGTATTCACATACGAATATGAATATCCCCGCACTGGTGGTGTTATTGAGGGTCCGATCAGACAGCGCAAGTCTACAAATGGCGCTGCAGTGCGCAGTCTGCTCACTACTCCTGGCAGGAGGCGGGAGGACAACCCTCCCTACAAGGTCAAAGAGTGGCAAGCGGATCACACACTGGGGCACCATTGATAGAATCGCGCCATCCGTGTCGGGTGGATCGGTGAGTGGACCATCCAGCCCCATGGGGCTGGATCCTCCTTAACACCACCTGTGCTGGGATATTTTATATGAATACAAATACCCCCATCTCTAGTACAGATGTGTCTGTGGTTCAGCAAAACAAATGTTTCTAGATAATTCTTTCTTTCTAGAACTAATACGTATACAGTGGTGCTCCGCTTGACGACAATAATCCGTTCCAGGAAAATTGCTGTTAAGCAAAACCATCGTCAAGCGAAAATAACACCCATTGGAATGCATTGAAAACCGGTCAATGCGTTCCAATGGGGAAATACCTCATTGTCTAGCAAAGATTGCCCATAGAGAACGGCCGATCAGCTGTTTAAGAACACTGTTTTCCGGAGCAGGGGTCCGGAAAGCAGCCATTTTGAGAAGGGAGGGAAGCCAATTTACGAAGGGAAGCCATTTTGCAGAGCCGGAAAAATCGTCATTTAGCGAAACAACGGTTCACGAAGCAGGCTCCTAATCAGCGTCAAGCGAAAAAAACCATTGGAACCATCGTTTTCCGATCGCAATAGCGATCTCAAAAAACTCATCGTAAAGCGATTTCGACGTCATGCAGGGTAAGCGTCAAGCGGGGCACCACTGTATTGGAAAATGCAAAAATTCAGGCTTGTAATCAGTGGATATTATTCAGCTACAGGAAGTAGAAGCTGCTTCTGCTGTTGTTAAATGCATCTAAAATACTCAGCAATTATTTGATTTTATTTCAGCATAAAAGAACTAAGGAAAAAGGAATAGGGCAATTTTTAAAAGAAATTATATTGACTCATATTATAAAGCTCAATAAGCTGCAGGGATATTTTGACTTCTAAAATGGTGATACAAATTAATATTTCAAGTAACAAAAGCTGTGCTCTATTATACACAATACTAACTTTTTAAAAAAGAAGATATGTAAAGTATAGAATTTTTTTTACAAAATCTTATTAAATATACTAGCATGTCTTATCAAACATCCCTGAATGTGTGATTACGAATGATAACAATCTGAATACCAGAATTATTACAAAACACCACATTATGTACATACTTACAACCATGGCATAAGAAAGGAATAGGGTATAGTTTACAAAGGAATGTCCTGTTTTAAGAAAGCCATTATAGTTCAGTGATAAAGCCCAATGATTTTTAAGCTTATGTTATTTTATGTGATGGTTTAGATGTATTTCACAGTTCCAGTTATTGGTTCGAAATATTCAAGACAGTATAGTACTTGGGATGTGGGGAAGTCCTTGTAAATCACTTTTTGCCAAATCATTATTGCATCCGATACATCTTCTTGCTTGATATTTAATTGTGATGAAGCTTGGTGGCTATCAAAATGAGGACTTGAAACAACTGATTTTTGCACAATAGATGTGTATATTGTCTAGGCAGGAAAAGCAGTCAACTTGAATCTGTGGTTAGGTAAAATTTAAATATTTGTCACATGAAGTTATTTTGATGTTATTTCAGTTTACATATTATACAAAGTGCAAATGTTTTTAGAAGTCTGCTGGTCGGATCATCATAGTTGTGGCTTTGAGAGAATAACCTGATCCTTTCCAATAGTACCACTTAATGCCTTTGAATTTGTTGGTGTTCTGTCGCTGTGGATAATATAAGCCATTCAGATTGGATGGACCACAGGCATCAAACCACCATCCTGTTAAAAGTAATATAAAGTAAATTAAAAGGGGGTCTGAAAAAACATTATATTGGTAAAAAATAAAGGGGAATGGGGGAAAATGAAAATATTGCAACAGTTTTAAAGACAAGCTCTTTTATATTAATATTGATCTTCAATAGCACTGTATAAATATATTGTACCATATGTATCATGTTTTGTCATTGGAAGCCTATACAGTACTTAACACTCAAATAGAACTGTCATATAGTAATTAATCATTTTGTATAAATGGAGGCCAGGTAAGATTCAGAAAGATTTTGTCAGGAACTCTCCTTGGACTCCACATATTTACTGGGAGGCCCCATAAGCTCTTACAGCACAGGCCTACAGATCCTGCAGCTGTTCTAGTTCAACCACAAAGAGGGCTGTAGAAGCTGTCGTTTCCATTTTTTTATGATCTACAATTTCCTCTGTCTGAACCTAGAGAGACCGTGGTTGCTATAATTAGTGGAAACAAGTCAACTTCAAAACATTTGTGAAAGTGGCTTGTTTTCACTAACCACTAACAATTAATTAGGGACCATCAAATCGAGATTGGCTTATAATGACCCTTTCAAGAGTTTTCTAGATACAGAGCACTTAAAGTGGTTTCTGTTCCTCTGCGGGCACCCTGGTACTGGCCAGCTTGCCCAAGGCTACACAGGCTGGCTCTTCTCCTGGGAAGCACAGTTGGAAATTCCCAACCTAATTCCCTGAGCTATCCAGCTAGCCTTCACTAGTCATAGGTAAGAGGAAAATTAATCACTGTTGAACATTAAGATAACATGCTAATTTGTGGTTAATCCGAAGTTTAAGGGAATACTTTCCTTGTTGTGGCTCTGGCAGAAGAGGAGCGAGGGAGTGGGGACCATGCAAGCCCAGATTTATCTCATTGATATACCGTAGTGCTCATGTGGAATGCAGGTAGTATCTTAACCTTAGCTGGATTCCTGAAGTCTGTTTGATTTATTGATCTTTATGCTTTGCTATCCTGCCTTTTCACTTAATGATCTCAGGCTATACTGTACTTGTAACATTACACTGGTGCAAAAGGGGAAAGGAAGTTCATGATTGGACTATGTTTGCCTTTCCCCTATAATTGTCTGTTCATATCTTCTCTCTACTGTTGTGTTTTTTGGTGGGGGCCATTCGTTCCATCATAATGCCTTGAGTCTTTATGCCTTTATATTTATTTATTTATTTATTGGACTTATATACCGCCCCATAGCGCTACAAGCTATGGGTTATTTTACAACGGGTTATTGTTCTGTGAGGGCACACACCCACCCAGCCCATGGTCGTCCCCACTTTTTATCTGACTTTCTGCTCACTTATTCAAACATGAACAGCAAAATGCAAAAGGGAGAAGTTCCTGAATTGGCATATACATTAAAAAAACATTGCCATGGTATCAGTTGGCATGGCAAAAATTTACCTGCTATTTACGGATTAGCTGCCAATAGAAATAGGAAATGTTTGGAAAGAGAGGGGAAAGTACAACTGTTACCTCCTGTTAGCATTTGGGAGCATTTGCAGATGCATTTGTCATTGTCTGCATCCTTTGTGCTAAAGCCATTTCCTGGTTGGCTTATGCTGCTTATTTTGCCGGCTGTACCCGTAAGTCCTTTAAGGTTGATTCTGTAGAAAAGCAAATACATGCTGAAGTAGTTGTAGTGGTTCTGCAGCAGAGAGGAAGTATTTTCCAGGAAGTACTTTGTACAATTCTCTGGTTATCTCCTCTGTGTCTTTTGCACAGAGTTTTCCAGGCACTTGTTATGAACAGAAAATGTTGTTCTGTAAGAGGAATGACCTGTTTTTGTCCAAGTTCTACTATTTTTTTTAAGTCGAGTTTTAAAAAGTGAGGACAAATATTAACTGTTCAGTAACTGTACATCCTGGAATCATAATA